ACCATATACGGATTTGAATCCCAAGAGGATGAAAATGATGTAAGTACTTGTAGTTTTGTTCAGTGTTAGCAGCTTCATGGTTAGTAAGTTGTTTGTCTTGCTAGTACAAACTATTAATTTGTTCTTTTATTCCGTTGGCAGCTTGTACAAGTTCATGGGCGAGATTTCCCACTACTTTGGGAACAGGATCCAAATAACCCTGAACCTATCATTCTTGCGCCAACAGCACCAGTTCGCCATGACAATGTTCGTGAGACTGATTCTGATGACGAAAATTATAATCCCCATGATGTAAGTACTTGTTGTGGTGTTGTTTAACTGACAGCTTCGTGCTTAGTAAGTTGTTTGTTTTGCTTGTTTTGTCTTGTCTTGTAACTTTTTGTTGTTTGCTTTCAATTTGAAGCATAAGTACCTGGTAAGTCAGAGCAACCAAAACATGAATCATCAAGGAAATGAAAGTAGTACATCAAGTGAGACTGAACTATTAATTTGTCCTTTTATTCCATTGGCAGCTTGTACAAATTCATGGGCGAGATTTCCCACTACTTTGGGAACAGGATCCAAATATCTCTGAACCTATCATTCTTGCGCCAGCGGCACCAGTTCCCCATGACAATGTTCGTGAGACTGATTCTGATGACGAAAATTATAATCCCCATGATGTAAGTACTTGTTGTGGTGTTGTTTAACTGACAGCTTCGTGCTTAGTAAGTTGTTTGTTTTGCTTGTTTTGTCTTGTCTTGTAACTTTTTGTTGTTTGCTTTCAATTTGAAGCATAAGTACCTGGTAAGTCAGAGCAACCAAAACATGAATCATCAAGGAAATGAAAGTAGTACATCAAGTGAGACTGAACTATTAATTTGTCCTTTTATTCCATTGGCAGCTTGTACAAATTCATGGGCGAGATTTCCCACTACTTTGGGAACAGGATCCAAATATCTCTGAACCTATCATTCTTGCGCCAGCGGCACCAGTTCCCCATGACAATGTTCGTGAGACTGATTCTGATGACGAAAATTATAATCCCCATGATGTAAGTACTTGTTGTGGTGTTGTTTAACTGACAGCTTCGTGCTTAGTAAGTTGTTTGTTTTGCTTGTTTTGTTTTGTCTTGTCTTGTAACTTTTTGTTGTTTGCTTTCAATTTGAAGCATAAGTACCTGGTAAGTCAGAGCAACCAATGCAATACATGAATCATCAAGGAAATGAAAGTAGTACATCAAGTGAGACTGATTCGGATGGTGATGAGGATGATTCTGACGAAACTAATGACAAAAATCATCTACAAGCTGTTAAGGCCATGTTACACTGCAATTTTTCTTGCAACTTGCAATGCAATTCTACTCTTGAGAGATGTTAATTAGTGAAATCAGTGAAGAATTTTCGATATGTTGAGAAAACATCAGCGGAGTGTGATGAAGACTCGTATTTGGCAATTTTACATCTCTCAAGAGTAGAATTGCATTGCAAGTTGCAAAAAAATTGCAGTGTAACATGGCCTTAATTGTTATAGTCATAGATGGATTTTCT